GGTCGACGATGCATTCGATCTGCTCTTTGTTGTCGACCAACGCGATGATCGAACGAATCGCATTCGAATCGCGTGCGACGGTGAATTCTGCGGGGTGCTCGCCGTGAGGGATGTGCTTCAGATATGTTTCGTAGGGGTCGGGGACGATCGTAGCACCGGGTTCCAACGTTGCGCCTGAACACGAGAGCTGGTTGACGGCCGTGACCTCGTCGGCGCCGATTTCTACGATGTGGGCCGACGCGACGGGTTCCGTCAAGACTCGCTTAGGGGTGACGGCGTCGCGGTACTTGGTTCGAACGTCTGGCGCGATCGAAAGCAATTCTTCTGGGGTCAGCGTGACGAACTGCGACTTCATTGAACGCTGGAAGATTTCCTCGGCGAGCTTCGGCTGGATAACGGGGACGATGGTCTTGTACGCTGGTTCCTTGCCCTTGTCGTTCGAGGGCTTCGGCGGAGTTGCGAAGTTTCGAACATTCGGTGGGGCGTAGGTTGCGTCGCGAGCGTTTGCGAAGGGGTGTACTGGTGGTGCTGGGGGAGCGGACATAGTAGTGGATTGCGTAGGCGGCGAAGAAGGCGGCGCGGGTGCTGCTGCTGGTATCGTCGGAGGTGGGGCCGTGCTTGTTGAAGTGCTCGAGGGTGCCGCCACTCCCTTCGATGTACCAGATCCCGAGGCTTCCGCGCTCTTCGGGACGGCTGGCGTCGTAGGCTTCTTCCGCTGTAGAATCTCGACGCCGTCGAAGACCTCTCTTCGCTTCCGAAGCTGAAGGAGTTCTCGCTCGAGCGCCTCGATCCTGCCGCTGGTGTTGAGCGTGAACGTTTGCACAGTCGAGCGATCGTCGATCTCGAAGAGCATTGTCGGAGTGGCGGGTGCTGCGGGATTTCTTCTATGCCACTCGTAGATTCGATCTCGTATTGTGAGACCAGGGATAGTGCGGGGGCAGAAACTTCCGTTTGGAAGAACGATCTTGCCATCGGTGTTCCGTTTGCACTTGCCGTCCCGAATGTCGATCTCCGCGAACTCGCAGGTGCCCACCCTGCAGCCACGATTGCCGCAGTAGTGGCACGTCTGTTCAGCTCCGCTGTTCTCATGGGCGTGGACGGCAGCCTGTTGTCTCGGTGCGGGGGCGTGGTTGTGCGTAGCGTGCGTCGTCGGCTGAATGAGTGTTGCGATCGTCCTCGACAGGCTTTCGATGATCATCGAGATGTCTTCGGTCTTGATCATCCCGGGGGGCACCGTTGTCGAAGTGTTCGATGTCGAAGCGATAGCTTGGTTCGCCGCGGTCGTAGGTGTGCTCGATGTACCGTGTAGAATGAAAGTAGCCGCCGCGTGAATCTCTGCCATGGTGTATGGGTCGTCGGCGTAGTGATCGGGGTGCTTGAGGTGTAGTCGGGTCTCGAGCCGTGTGAGCAACGCTGGCTGGAATCCTCGAAGAAATGCGCGACTTTGTTCGATAGGGGAGAGTCGGTTCTGTGCGATAAGATGTTTCGTAATGGCCATGAAGTCACGGTAATAGCAGCCCAGATCTGCCGCATTGTGAATCCCGATACGAGCGCGTTCTCCAATGAGCTGATCCATGTCTGCCAGCGACCACTTTCTTGTATCGTCGGCGCCAGGATAGAGTGCTCGTACGTCGGCTTTCCAGTCGTTGTAGCTCTTGGCTACGTTGATGAAGGACTCGATGGTTTCCCATAAGTCGGCGACGTCGATCGAAGGGTACCGAACGGCCCATTGTTTCTTGGCCGCTTCGTCGGTAATCTGACACCGGGTGAACAACGCTTCGAGGTCCTGGAAGTAACGCCGAAGCGAACGGACTTCCGACGGGTCGAAGCTCGGTGCCGTCGAATGACCGCGCGGGGGCATCAACGGTGTGTTCGTGTTCTGACTCATGTTCGTAGTGTTAATAGGAGCTGGGCTCGAAGAGGACGCGGTAGTAGTCGAAGGAATCGTAGGTGCGGGCGGTGCGGGGTTGGAGTTCGCAGCTGCGTTCGAAGGTGCTAATGGTGGCGGAGGTGCCAGGTCGGATGTAGGTATGACTGAAAGTCGCGAAGAGGATGCGATAGATGGCTGAGCGTGGGCGCGAAAAGAAGACGGGGTCGGGAGTTCGAGATTCGAAGTAGATGGGATGGGATCCTCGGGTTCGGGCGAAGAACCGGATCGTTCGAAAAGATCAGGAGTCGAAGTGTCGTAGTCAGAAGTAGTGAGGCCTAGAAGCTCGGGGGACGAAGTGCGTTCTTCGGCGGTCGAAGGGATCGGTTCTTCGTCGAAGTCGTCCTGGAGTTCTTGGTCTATCTCGTCTTCTTCGTCGCGGTCGAAGTTACCGGGAATTGTCGGAGAGGGAGTTGAGTGCGTTCGAGAGGAGCTGTCGGGGTTTTCGGCGGCGCTGCGACTAGCCGCCTCACGCGCTTGCGAGCGGGTGACTACTGGAGACGTTTTCGGAAACCCGAAAGCGGCGAATTCTTGCCTGAAATCCCCTCGCGGTGGGCTCCAGAAATGATACGACCTACGAAACCCTAACCCCTAACCTGGGTGCGACCTAAAGGGACTAGAGAGACGGATTATAGTCTTAGTGAGAGGGGAGTTAGCAGCAAGGTGTCCCGCGGTTCGAGTGAACACGAGAAACGCCTTCGGAAAAGGCTACGAACGCTAGGAAAGGTACGAGGTGGCTTCGACACGTCGTCGAAGCTACTCGGAGGCTGTGGGTGGTTAGTGGAGACGATCGAAGCTCGGCAGAGCTCTTCGATGTATCGTAGAAGGAAGGGACACGACTCGAAGGGTGGACTTAGCTAGGGCGCGGTTCGCAGTTTCTTCGACAATAGTCGAAGTCG